GGTGGGGGGGGGGGGGGGGGGGGGGGGGGGGGGGGGGGGGGGGGGGGGGGGGGGGGGGGGGGGGGGGGGGGGGGGGGGGGGGGGGGGGGGGTCGGGGACTTTTCGCTCACCCTGTATATTTTTGAATGGGTAACATCAGCAGGATTCAAAAAATGCGTTCTCCCGAAAAAGGGCGTAAGACCGGATACGCCCTTTTGCCGAAAAATGCCTCAATTTAAAACAGTGGTCTTTTTGATACGCTCCACCTAAGTTCGAATTTTTGAGTCGATTCAACCAATGTTACATATAAAGAAGGTAACATGAAGCCCGAATAACCGAAAAATATCTGCTTTATCGGGAGATATGAAGTGAATGAGTTCTGCCAGTGTGTTACTTGAGGGAGGTCTGACGACCATGTAATACTGCGAAAACTTGTTTCCCTTGATGTTTCGTTGCAACTACTATCAATGACCTGCTACACGACACCTGTTAGCATTAACGATTAAGCGTGCTCACGCCCGCCCTCCCTGTATCTCTACGGCGCCTCTTTTTCGTGCCAATTTATATCTCATCATCCATATTAATGTGTTTCTCTTTGTCTTGCCAAAAAATTTTTCCTCTATCTGTTTCAGCATAATAGAGAATGGCGAGGAAAATTGCAGAGAACTAATTGAAGCCCACAAAGCCTGCATGAGAAAGATGGGATTCAATATTTGAAGAAAGGATGGAAGCACAGTCGTTATTATTTCTCAGATGTTTTGAATTATGTGAATCGGCGCTAATGGTGGCCTTTCTGCAGAAATATTTGTAGTAATCATTAATTGTCATCGGCGAGAGAACCGTGAGGTAGTCCATTTTGTGTTCCCACCTGAATAATCCTCTCACAGTCGGAATTCTTAAGAAGGATTGTTTCAGGACTGAATAAGATTACCTACTCATGGTATGATCTGGACCTTGTCCCTCAAGCTTTGTCTTTCAGTAATGAAGTTTCTTGGGATAAACTGAAGGAGAGGAAGTCACCAAATTTGGACTTTTGGCAGATTTGCCAAAAAGTAAGAAGTTATCTCCACAAAGCTTTTTTGCAGAGTTAATTGCTGCTACAAGTAGTTCAAACAGACTTATTTTACCATCTCTTCAACTTTATCCCAATCCATCTTCATTTTCGAAATTCGTGGAAGAACTGAAATAAAGCGACCGATAGAAAGAAAAGAGCTGAAAGGCTCTGAAGTCTTGCTCTTAGTTCCATTGCTAACAGAAGTCTTTTTTGAGAATGTCAAAATTAATGATCCACCTATTCATTGGAGTGGGAGGGAATTGAATAAAAAACCAATCGAGCCCATTGTTTAAAATTTGAAATCGGAGCTTTGCAGAGTTGATGTCCATAAATTGTGAAAACTCTTTACTTTTGCATTATGCACTTATTAACGATACTTTTTGAAACGGCGCCAAAAAAATATTTTTTTGAGAAACGAAGACGAGTATGTACAACTATGTAGCGATCACTCTCAGATATTTTTGTTCTAAATGTACCGAATCGAATAAAATTCTCGAACTGTGCCAGTACAACAGGTAACCCGTTCTTGAGGCATAACCTCTTTATTCTATGCCAATTTTGAGAATTTAGAGCCGAAATTCCAGTATGAAGGTCGCAGAAACTTGAATGTGACAAAAAATATTTAATTTGAGAGAACGAAATTAAACTGCTATTGCAAAGCACTTAATTATTTTCTGTCTCCTTCCTGTAGGTACAGCTTGTCAAAGAAGATTTATCTCGATGGTTGTAATACGGCGGAAGTACTGAAGTTCAAAAATGGATGGCTCTGCTAAGCATTGCATCTCCTATTTAATTGGGTAGTACACTTTCACCTCTCTTGAAAGTGATGTTGTGATGTACAGTCTCTGTTGAATATAATTATTGGTTCACACGCCATTCTATTTATTTCTAAAACCTTATTAGATCCACTTATGAAGAAAGGAATTCATCCACACTGAATTCATATCAAGAAGTAGCGTCTAATCAATTCATTCTTCTGATTTATGAGACCTCTCAGTCATTCTTCCTTGGACAATTAAGCGTAAGCAAAGTTTACTGTAGGTCCAAAGACTGTAGGTCAAGAGACCAGAAACCAAAAATAATTCGGTATAAATAAAATAAAACGGTTGCCTAAACATAGGTCTCCAGGCGTATTTTAGCGAAAATTTGTGTTTTTCTATCACGCCCGAGGCTTTTTTGACACTGAGCGCAACGTCTAACTAAAACGAGCTTTTGATATGTTATCAAGGAGGCTTTAGGACAAATTTTAACTCTGGTTTGGTTTTAGTTAGATGATGCGCTCATAATTAATTTTTTTTTCTTCTAAAATCGACGTTTAAGGGACATCCGCAAAAATCATAGGGAACACGTGTCTCCAACTGTATGCACGCTACGTATACATTTTATCGAGGGCAGTCATCAAGCGTTGATATACCCTTACAAGGAGATTTTCTTTAACTGTAGCCAAAAAAAATCCCCAACGAAGTAATTCCCTAAAATTTTTCTGGATGTCCCTTAAACGTCGATTTTTGAAAAAAAAAAATTAACTATGAGCGCATCATCTAACTAAAACCAAACCAGGGTTAAAATATGTCCTAAAGCCTCCTTGATAACATATCAAAAGCTCGTTTTAGTTAGAGGTTGCGCTCGGTGTCAAAAGAGCCTCGGGGGGTGATAGAAAAACACGAATTTCCGCTAAAATACGCCTGGAGACCTATGTTTAGGCAACCGTTTAACACGTATTCAGTGGCCTATGGGCTAAATCATGATTATTTCCGTAAACTACATTGAGTCAACTTGGAAAACCCGCCTAAATTTCCAGATTCTAGGAGGGGGCCAAAAAAGGCCCTTATCGATACCCCTCATTTTGCAATGCGCGATATCTCTGTCATTATTCAACGTAGAAAGTTGCTATTTGGCCTCTTGATATTTTAGGTTGATCGACAAATATCAAGTATCACACGCGATTCCGAGACCAGTGCAACTGACCTTTTGTGGGAAAAGAAAAGACTTACCTGTTAATGTCCTCCGTCCTTTATTTTCGCCGTGAGGACGTTCGATAGAGCGCTGGAGCGATCCGCGCGATGTTTTAAGAAAGAGGTACCTAGGGGTTCGTCGCCGCACCAAGGGCTCCCTCTCAATTTCTTTTAACCTAGGAACATCCCTTAAGTTTCAAATTTTCCCCCCTTCAGGTAAAATTTCAAAAGGGGGGGGGGAGTCTTTTGTGTTTGGATCGTCCGTTATAGGGTTTTTCAGTGCCTAGATGTGCGTGCGAAAACGCTGATCCCGCTTTCCGAACACCTCACCTGAATGAAGTTGACTTCGAACCGGAACGGAATTGACTTTGCCACCCGCCGCGCCGTGAGCGAGAATTATTTTTGGTTTCTGGTCTCTTGGCCTACAGTCTTTGGACCTACAGTAAACTTTGCTTACGCTTAATTGTCCAAGGAAGAATGACTGAGAGGTCTCATAAATCAGAAGAATGAATTGATTAGACTCTACTTCTTGATATGAATTCAGTGTGGATGAATTCCTTTCTTCTGGCTAGTCTAAAGGCTAAGGGCCTAAGGGCTAAGTCTCCCCATGAACTACATTGAGTCGACTTGGAAAACCCGCATAAATTTCCAGATTCTAGGAGGGGGCCCAAAAAGGCCCTTATCGATACCCCTCCTTTGGTTCATACCGTCATCCATCGCGGTGGTATCACGGCGGCGTCAAGGTGGTAGAAACCAAGGGTGTCACTACCGCGGTGAATGGGATAATACCGAATTGGTCCCGATTTCGATTTCGATACTCGTTTATTGAACGATTGTTAATTGGCGATTAAATGACGAGAAAAGCGCGGTACCAATGCTGCGTCTATACCTGCTTCATCGAAAGCGCTTTCCACTCGGATCCGATCTTACCGATCGGTCCAAGAAACTGATGGGGAGTATCATAAACTTCCTACGCCATCCGTGAGGTGCATAGCAACGTGCCGACTCAGTGACTCTGCCTCGACCTCAGAACCTTGTACAAGCGGGATCGTTATTCCTGCGAAAAATAGTTTTCCGTAACCCGCCATACACTTTAGTGCACCGCTATGAGCGCAACCCATTTCGGCAAATTCACCCCAATTTGACAAAAAAAAAAGGAGACGGTTCGGCATACAAAATTAAGTAAGGCGTGGGGGGAAAATGACCCGATTTGGCACAGAATAATAGCTCTCGCACCGATTCTACATTCACGACTTATCAGTCATCAGCGATTGGGAATCCCACGTTTATTTTCTTGCTCTTTTCCTCTTTTCCCCACTTTCATCGTTTTCTCCACGGTCAGGCCAGTCGGTGATAGCTGTATGCCTTCGAGGCTTCCCTCCGGTTCTATATCTTTTCCCCATTCTTCACCACACCGCAATCGGTGGCGAGGCGTGATTAATCGATTATCGATATTTCTTCATTTGAAGCCATGGTAAAGAATCAATTATTGAGGTATAAACACCCTGTCTATCGATCTTTTTCCATAGATTTATATGGGAGATCAATCGATGTATCATAAAGCACGTGACGCCACTGACTGTAACAGTGTTGAGAGGCGTAGTGAGCCACAACGTGGACATATTGGATGAGAAATGGATTCCTTGAAAATAAAAGTTAGGTTCATGCTTAAGCGCCCGCAGTAGGTCATCTACAGCCAAGGCCAAGCTATCAAATATTAATAGCATAGGTATGACTAGATTTTTTTTTAGCTGTAACTCAAAATTTTCGCTCCTATTTTATTTTTTAAATAAATATTACAATGAAGGATGGGTGCCATTAAAGTCTGATTTGAAGTAACTTTAGCTGCTGAATCCGAAAATGGCCTTGATTTTAAATATTATGCACCGTTTTCCCAAAAAAATTGAATCAAAATTGAATTTCCCCACAAAAAACTCAGAAACCCCATTTTGTGGGAAGACAATGGGTCAACGCAAAAAAAACTAAGGTCAATTTTGAACTCAGCAATACAAATTACATAGAAGCTTGTCAACTATCTAGTCTAACATAAAGTCCACCGTGTTCAGATTTGTTTCATTTTTGGAGACCTGTGTTTTTCTATGATCAGTGACTTTTAAGTGCCTACTATTCCTAAAATATGTCACTTACTGAGCTAATATGGGCGCTTCTTAATGCTTTAGTGTCTAAACTACAAGAATACTATATGGTAGAACGGTCAAATCTGTCCACCACCCCCCCTCCACCAAGGGTGAGACTTACTTGTTTAAATCAAATTAAAAGTTGCACGGTCTTGAAATGGTTCCATGTGCTAAAAAAACGCCAAAAGGATTTGGAAAAAAAAATTTAACGCGGCCCGCACAGCACCTACAGATCGTTATTTTTCCGATATTTTTGGCATTTTAACCGTCAGATTTGACGCTAAATGTTAACGCCAAACATGGAGATGGATTAATGGAGGTGTTGCATGTGTGAGGAATTTGCGATTTGACTATTGATTCTTATGTAAAAGTCCGCGAGAAACACTATGGTCCCACTGATTTTCTCTGAAATCAACTCCCAAGCTCCAAAAACGGTCTCAAAGTTGAGGCTGTAATGATCCTGAGAGTCCACGTCTACGTAAAGACAAACTCTCCATGCAAAGATAGGGAACAAATATATTAGCAGGGTAACTGAAAGCACGGCAACCCTAAGGGTTGCCGTGCTTTCGTTGCTGCTCGTGCTTTTAGAGTCCCCAAGTAAAGTGGCAGCCCTGACAATAATGTACATAATTGCTCCCTATCTTTGCATGGAGAGTTTTTTGTCTTTACGTAGAGGTGGACTCTCAGGATAGCGTGGGATATTTATTCTGGATAATACTGTGGTTTCCTTTTTTATTCAAACTTTTGGTGAAATTTTCAAGCAGATCATTATCATTTAAGTAAGTGTTTTTTTATGAGTATTTTTGAAAACAAGCATTGAAAGAGAAATTGTATTATTCTTCTTAAATTACCGAAAACTTGGGAGAAAAATTGGAATGGTGAAATTAGACCTCTTAAGTAGAAACAGTAATAGCTCATGCCTCTATGCTCATAATTTCAATGTGACTAACTTCATACCCTAGTATTCTATGCTGAACTTTTATTGAAAAACCTGAAAAATTTGGATAGGGTCTTCTACTACATGAATTCGTTGCTTATTTTGATCAAAACTAGCACTGAGCTTAATGCCAAAGCCTGAAATTCACTCCTGCTTGACTGACAAAACTTGTGTAACAATTACCACGATTTGAGTTTCCTACGAGCATTCCCTTCTCGGAGAGGGGTTCAGAAAAGTTTGGCAAAGCAGCACAAGTTTACGCTTTTTATTGAAGTGACCGACAGACTTCTAAAATTTAAGAAAACATAAAAAATTAAAGCCTTTAGAAGCATCCAAGCACCATTATTTCCATGAGAACCGCGTCAGTGCTGCGGTTTACACGAGCTTAAGACGTGGGTCTAAAAATCAATCCTAAAAAATAATCAGACAAGAACCTGAAAAAATAAGAAATAACGAGTATCAACACAGCCGACGACAAGGAAGACGTATTCGGGCCTCTTTTTTAACTTTTCTCCCGAATCGGAGCGACACCTCATTGGCAGCATACAGCAGAGCATTGAGCACTCGCGCTTCGCGTCATCGCGCCTTCAATTTTTCAGATGCAGCACGGA